GAGGCAAACATGAAGATAATGGATACCCTTTTCTACAATAGCCCTTGTATGTATGTTGATTCACAGCTTACAAAACACTACATCCTGTACCTCCTTTACTCTATTTCCAGTTTTCCCTAGGACAGCTGAGGAGTATTTGGTGGAGAGGACATGGTCATTGCCATGTTCAATGTGAATCACACCAGGTGAAGACAATGCCTGTCTTGAATGGAGGTCAGCAGCATTATAGCTTCCAGAGAGGAAAATGCCCAGGTTGGAATCACTGCACTTTTGCTTAGTCACAGGAAGAAGGAATGCTCTGTGTGGCCCTTGAAATGTTAGCGGCAAGGAAGAGGCTGCCCCAGGGCAGAGCTCAGTGGGCAAGTGTACCTCACTTTCTGGGGCTTTGGGGTGTCAGCCTATAGGTGCAGCCCAGGTACAACAGGAGCAAGAGGACTTGATGTCAAAGACAGCTTCATTCCCAACTTCCTATGTTAGAAAACTCAGGTGGCTGCCAACTCTAAAGACAAATTGCAGGACCAATGTGTGACAGACCTGCAAAGTAGGGGGCATGCTGAGCTGTGCCTGGGAAATCTGGACCTATGAGACAACTTGGAGGAACAGGAGGACCCTTGGAGCACAGTGGAGCTCTGGGCACCATGGCCAGGACCCAGGGCTGAGTCCTCCCGTAGGACTATGGTAGCCTATGTATTACGAGAAAGTCTCCTTAGAGGTCCCTGGGTCTCCTTCCGTGCTTTTCCCATGCTGTGTCTCACCCATGTTGGGGACGCGATGCCTGCAGACTGTAACATAGTCCCTTCTTCCACAGATGCCCTTTTCTCTCCCTCCCTCTCACCCAGGGTTATTTTGAAGACACTATCAGGTACTCTGGTGACCCATGTGGAAGACATATGGGATTGAAAAGAAATCAAAGAAAACAAAACAGTAAGAATGAGGTGTAAGTGAGGAAGAGAACTGTCATCCCTGCAGAACCCCATGAGCAACCACAGCATGGTTGTCTGGACAGGAGAAGGCGATTATGGCGATGAGTTCCCTGAAAAGCCGGGAGAAGGGGCCAGGGAAAGAGCCAGAGGTCAAGGAGCCACATCCCCAGGGTGAAACCCCAGCCACTCTCAGCAGGAAAGCCAGGGGCTTCGGGGCCATTGCATGGGCTGGAGTTGAGGGGGGAGGGACTTCAGCTCCAGGGTGGGGAAACTGCTTCGGCCCCACCTTGCACAAAAGCTACTGCAACCTTACACAGAAAACGCTCTGCCAGGACGTCCGTCCCACAATTGTCAGCTAGGCTAGCCATGCCTGTTATTAATCCCTGTGGCTGAAGTTTACCGATTCAGAATATCTAAGTCTCCATGTTTTATCATTAAAACCTTCTTGACTGAGCTCATAGTTTACTGCAACATATAGATCCCCATGGTGATTCTTCTCTGTTTCCAAACCAATATCGTGATTCTTTGGAGAATCTCAGATTATTACTTGGTTTGGCAACAGCAAGAACCCCCATTTGACCTCAAACAAAGCTGATTCCAGGGACAGAGAAATATTTAAGGCCAAGCCCCAGGAATCCAGAGGAAAGAATTCACACCATTTCTGGAGATTGGTCCCCACACCTGTAGCCAGCTGTGAGGATATGGGGACACTAGAGACAAATGGAATGGAATAAGTCAGGAGAGAGAAGCCAGCAGGGCTTATGGGGTATGATAACAGTGAGAACTCTGTCTGGTCTTTGTCCCTTGTTCCCAGTGCAGACCTCCTAAACCCTGGCTCTTGTTATTCACAGTGCATCCCTGTTCTCCTGAGCTTTTGTTAATATGATCTATGGTAACCGAGGATGGGGACCCTGAGTAGGCCAAGGTGGGGCTGGTGGAACCTCAACCATCCTTTGGAGCTGCGGGGTGGGGGTGCTGGAGACTCAGGCCCATAGAAACTCCTGAGCAGCAAATGGAGGCAGGAGCAGGGGGAGGGACTTCCGGGCTGAGGAGCACATCTCCTGCCAGGAGGATGGCGACCCCAACTCCACAAGGATGAAGTTCCTGTGCTCAGGACCCTTTGGGATGCGGCTTCACTTAGCTCTCCATCTGCACCCTTTGTAATGTCCTTCATAAGTCAGCCAGTACCGTAAGTAAAGTGCCCTCCCAAGTCCTGTGAGCTGCTCTCACACAATTGAAGCCAGGAGATGGCTTGTCACCCAGGAGAACATGGGTGACTCAGACTTGTGATTGCTGTGTGCAGTGGACAGCCTGAGCATCTCCCAGGACCCTCTGCACACTTCCTTGTGTGTTTAGTAAAGACTCCTGCAGAGTCAATTTAGCAAGAACCCCTCAGCCTGCATATACTATCATCTCCTCCATACCTGCTCCTTTCCTAGGACAGGTGGCACTGGTAGGACAGAGGTGGCACTGGCTGCAGGGGAGATGCACAGGGTCAGAATTGGGCAGAATTATAAGACCCTAGCTGGGTCAGAGGGTTGCATGGTGTGAGGAGAAGCCCACTACAACCACACCTCCTTCTTCAGCAGCAGGGCCTTTTTCCTTGGAGGTAATAATTGTTTTCTTTTTTTATACATAAGTCAGATTTCCTATGTCCAAATGATTATCTTTTCCCCAAAACAATCCTAATTCAATAGCAGTGTTAATATATCCAGACACCACAGTTCTGTTTCTTTTACTCTTTCCAGCACATTCCCCCCGAATCTCCAACTTCCAGCCCACTGGGGCTGAGCACCTGCCGAGGGTGTGCTCTGCCCTCCTCTTATTTCTCCTTTGATTTCTCTCTTTTCTGAGACATATCTTTTTACAGAAAGTTCATAGGAGGCAGAAAATCTGAGTCTTTGGTTTTCTGAGAATATTGTCTTCCTGCCCTTACTCCTGATTAATATTATGCCCAGGGTAGCGCTCTAGTTGAAAGTCATCATCCCTCAGAACACTGACAGCTTTGTGTCATTATCTTCCACCACTCAGTCTCACTATGAAGAATTTCAAAGCTGTTTCAATTCCAAATCCTTTATATGTTGTAGTAACCCACGCTCTCCAACATCTGCCACACCAGAATCTTTTAGACATTTTCTCCCCTGGGGATCTGAAATGACAATGTGACACTTGCTGAAGAATGCATCATCATGGCCACTCTGGAAAGTGTGTGCCCTTCAACTGTGGAGATTTCTTTAATATAATGCTTCTTTTTTTTTTTTTTTTTGGTATTGGGGATCGAACTCGGGTCCTTGCGCTTGCACAGCAGGCAGCAAAACCACTGAGCTAAATCCCCAGCCCTATAATGCTTCTTTAATACAACGGCTTTGATCATCTCCTCTCCACCAACTTGTCTTCTCTCTCTCTCTCCAATCTCTTCACCAAACTGAAGCTCCTGGATGGGGTCTTTATCCCCCACCCCACTTGCCAGGCATTTGTTTTTCTTGTTCACTTCTGAGTCCTTGGAATCCTTCCTTAGCATGATCCTCTCTTCCCACTAATATCCTATTTTTAATTTCTAAATTGTTTTTCATATTCCCTGAAGCTGTCAAAAGAGTGTTTTTGTTTTTTATTTTCATTTTCTGCCTCCTGCATGATATGGCTTTCCTCTGGATTTTTTTTTCTATTTATTTTCATTTATCTGTCTTTGATACTGAAGACTTCCTTCAAATATTTGTTCACATTAAAAATTCAGATGACAAAAGCTGATTGTGAGCCACGTGCCTAAGGAGGGTATGGGGAGTAGGTCTCCTGAGGTGAGGTGACTGGACAGGAGCCATGTTTTCCTAGGGGAGAGGGCCCAGTCAGGAATCACTTGAGCAGACAGAGGCCTTCCCTTTGCCTCCCAGGATATGGAGCAGGGAGAGAAGAGAACAGTCTGGCTCCCAGCCTTGAAAAGGACCTAAGTGAAGTTCCACCATCTACTCTCCACCGTAAGGACTCTGCCAGCTGCCATGGCCATTACCCCAGGTACCTCTCTGTTCCCCCCAGGAAGAGGCAGAAGCTCCAGGGTGCAGGGGTGTGGAAGGAGACTCAGGGATTGAACCACACCCCGTGCACACTTCAGTGCTCCCCTCCATACCACTTCCCAATTTTCTGTGGGATTTCACACTTCCCAGTCCTGTGGACTTTGGCAAACCACTTCATTTTTCATGTGTGTCCCCCTTTGATGGCCAAGCCAAAAGCACCTTCTATCCCACTAAATCAGACCATCTTATTTTTCTATCCTGAAAAAAACTCATTGAAACTTCCTGTCAGTTAATATCTCCTTTCTCAATTTCTTTTTTTCTGTGTAGATAATGCTTTTTTACCTTCAGAGTTTTATAACAGAAAGAAAATTAGTGAGCCAGGGATTTAGCTCAGTGGCACTGTGCCTGCCTCGATAGCACAAGGTCCTGAGTTCAATCCTTGGTAGCCCCCCCACAAAAAGAAAGAAAGAAAGAAAATTACTCTGTGGTAAAACTGCTACATTTTCTGACTTTCCTAAGCATTAGTCAAGTGTCTCACTTACTAACAGTGGAATTTTAGGGAAGTTACTTGCCACTCAGTTTCAGTTTCCTCATCTGTGAAATTATGAAAACAATAGCTGTCTGACACAGGCCACAGTCTTCTAGTGATGAATTGAATAATTTGTATAAAAATATTTATAATTCTAATAGGAATCCACTATAAAACTAATAAGCTAATAAGCAGGGTTAGCAAGGTTACAGAATATATGATCATTTTATAAAAATCAACTATATTATAGTACACGAACAACAAACAATTCCAAAATAAAGAAAACAATCTCACTCATAATAGCATGAAAAAGAATGAATTTTAAGAATAAACTTAATCCAAAAAGTTCAAAACTTACATGTTTAAAATTACAAAATATTGTTGAAATAAATTAAGAAAAAAATCTAAACAAATGAAAGGAGATCCCATGGTCATGGAATGGAAGAGATGATATTGTTAAGATGGTAGTAGCTTGTATAGAAATGCAAGTTCACAACACCCAAAAACAAAAGTGAAAAAAACAAAGTAGGCGGACACACACTTTCTGATTTCAAAGTTTACTACAAAGCTGTAGTAACTGTGACTGTGGAGCTGGTGTGACAATAGACATGTATGTTAACAGGACAGAAAGGAAGGCTAGAAACCAGCTCATACATGGATAAGCCAGTTGGATTTTTGATGAGGGTGTCCAGGCGATTCAAGGAGGAAGTGCAGTCTCTTCTGGTACAGGGATGGCTGTGAAGGGAAAAACATGACATCTTTCTCACATGGCACATGTAAATTAACTAAAAATGGACTACAGCCCTAAACATAGAGATGCAGCTATAAAACTCTCAGAAGAAAATATGGAAGCCAATCTCTGAGCTGAGGTTAAATAATTATTCTTAGGAGGTGAGGTCTGAAGAAGCCATGTGGATAGTAGAGATCTCCCAAGCTGTTTGGCCTCAGTTGAGAATGATATTGTATGTCCAGCTCTTAATTGTGGAGAGAGAATGTTTCAGATAGAGGCAAAGTTATCCTGGGCTATTTTAATCTCTTTAATAGCCCTTTACTTTCCACATCTGCATATCTGACCTAACATTACCATGACTATTAGGTAAATCTCTTGGAATGTGTTGGGAAGCTTGGCAGGCCTCTGGCTTCTACCAACCCTGAAGCTAAGAATGCATGGGCCTATAATAAAGATTCCTCCACTTTTCTGCTGCCTTTCCATCTAATGCCTCACCAGTGTATTTGCTAAGTGTAATGACTTATGATCTTTTCTGTTCTTTGGCTATAAAAGTCCACATCACCCCTCCAGTGGTGAAAAGCATCTTTTGGGATAAATTTGATCCATGTCCTTGTAGTCACTCATATTTGGTTCTGAATAATCTTTTTTGTTTGTTTTTGTTTTTTGAGATGGGGTCTTCCTACATAGCCCAAGCTGGCCTCAAACTCATGGTCCTCTTGCCTCAGCCTCCCAAGTGCTAGGATTATGTATAGGCATAAACTTCTTATTTCCTTTAAACCAGAGTTATTATTTTACATTGACTCCCAAAGAATAAGCGACCAAAGGGGAAAAAAAATTGGCAAGTTGGTCTTCATCCAGATGAAAAACTTTAGTATTAGGACAAAGGACACAATAATGAAAGTAAAAAAACAACTCCAGAAATAAAGAAAGTGTTTGCTAGTCTGTCAAGGGAAATGTATCCAGAATACAGAAAGAACTCTTACAACTCAATAATAAAAAGACAGAGGACCCAATTTAAAAAACGAGGCAAGGGATCTACTAGATAATTCTCCAAGAAAGGTATGTAAGAGGTCAATAAACACAAAGAAATGCTAACATCATCAATCATCAGGGAAGCATAAGTCAAAAACACAAAGAAGTATCACTTCTCACCTGTGGGATGGTTGTGGCATAGTAAAAAGTACACATTTGGTCTTTGTCCCAGGCCTATGTCACAGAGTTCCTACAATCCTGGGGACTTGCTGAGAATAGGAGAGTCTTGTTCATAAGCTGCCCCTTTCAACCATCCCAAGTCTGTGCTAGTGAGGTGACTCAGGGGCCCCTAGGTAGTTTGGGGTGACAGCTTGTTGCCAGGAGAACCAACCTAGTGACTAGAGGACTGGAACCATCAGATCCTAGCTCCAGGAAGGTCAGCAATCTAATCTATAATGTCTGCTTAATGAAAGTCAGTAAGAACACCAAAACAAAGCAGTCAGAGAGCTGTGGGTTAGTGAGCATGCCACTGTGCTAGAGGGTGGTGTATGCCTGGAGTTCCCTATTCCTGCTCTGTACCTCTCTTCCACTTGGTGGTTTCAACTTGTACCCTTTAAAATAAACTATCACCATAAGTGCAGCACTTTCCTGTGAGTCGTCTAGAGTATTGAACTTGAAGGGTATGGCCCCCCCCCATTTATAGTCCACCAATCACAGACTGAGCCCTTAACGTGTGAAGTCTGACACCTATTCTGGGTAGTCAGTGACAGAACTGAATTGAATTGGATATGCCTGGGCAGTATCAGGAAATTAGAGAATTGGTGGTTATTTGGAACACCAGTGATGGTGGTAATCAGGAAGACAGACAATAACAAGCACTAGTAAGGATTTGGGGAAATTGGGACCCTTGTACATCACTGTTGGGAATATAAAAAACAGTGTAGGCAGCTCCTCAGATTTTACATATAGAGTTGCCATGTGACCCAGCAATTCCAGGCGTATCCAAGAAAAACAAAAGCACATATCCACACAAAAACTTATACACGAATGTCCACAGCAGCATTAAGTCAAACAGTGGAGGTGCGGTCAGAGCAGCCTCCGGGGCAGGGGAGCGTGTTATGGAGAGAGCGGGGCCCCGGGCGTCACAGCCGCCTCGGCGACTCCAGATCTGACGGGGTTCTCAGGTCTGTCCCCGCGCCACCGCACGGGACCTCGCTCTGGCCGAGGAGCGGAGGCAAGAGCTACCGAGGCCGCTGGGCCGCCCCCCTGCGCCGCAGCCTTCGTCCACCCGCCCGCCCCTCCTTCTCAGCTCCCCGTCC